GATTTACAGTTGATAGTTATGGGTTAGGAATTAGATTTAAAGTTTTCATCATGAATTGACATCAGTTATAATGCCAAAACTCTATTTAGTCAAATGAGTGAGTGAATTTCGCGCCAATATCCAAGACTTATTCATCATGTATCTGATTGGTTCGTCCATAAATGATAGTCTTGCCGTATTTGGTTTAAATCTTATTATAATTCATATGATTAATGTAAAGCAATATTGAGGCAGTCCAAAAAGGAAGCACATATGACAACAAGAGACTAATCAATTAGTCTTCAATAACAATGGGAAGATACAAGTAAAACAACACCATGCGAATTTAAACTTCACCCCATTGTACAAGAAGGTGGCTATCAGTACTCGGTAGCTAAGTGGATAACACTATGGCGTTTGGAGCAAACAGTACTGGGTTAGAATCTCCGAATGAACATCAACTGTGAGATGCAGGCATATCCAGTTGACGAGTCCCAAATAGGACGAAACGCGAGCCCTGTATTCCATTGCTAACCACTATCCATCTTTGCTTAAAAACCTTGTGACTTAAGGCTTTATCGAGGCAATCCATACAGGATGCACATAGACCAACATGAGACTGACCAATTACATTCTTAAATAACGATGGGAAGATACAATTAAAACACTAAGTGAATCAAAATTTACTTGACTAATTTATTAATCATTATCAAGAAGGTACAAGTATTTATAATTAGTTTGTTTAAGAAAGATACTCATCATCCGGATATCATCAGGAACAGTATACTGTAGGAGATGATAAACTAGCTTCCATCTTAAAAGGAAATTAATAAAACATGTTGGAAGTGGATAACACATACATTGAAAAAATCATCAAACTACATCACGAAGCAAGCTCTAATTTATAATCCTGAAATCAAACGGAAAACAGGAAGGTCAAAGAACACACTACGTCAGAAATTGAAATCAGACATGAAAAAGCTGAATAACAACTGGAAAGGGTTGTCCATGATAGAGTTTCATTGAGAATGCTTGTGAGCGGCCTATGTTTCTCTACGAGGGGATCAGAGTTACTATTGATTCAACTTTTCTTTCAACTGTAATCATTATGTTTAATGCATCAAAATCAGTCTACTCATCTGTTATAACCTCTTTTTTACGATATGACCCAGCTATTCCTATTGTTTAGTATTCTTGGACACCGATTCACTCGACAAGACCCCAAATCAGAACACGTTGAATAGGAAAGAGATTATATTCCAAAATAACAAGTTAGATGGAAGTAAGAAGCACAATAGGGGAAAACGTTAGTATATTTATAGTTTTTACATGAGAAGATTCTAGAATATTCTCCAAGTATTGACTAGTGCTGATTGGATAGGAATTAGCCAATCAGCGTGCATCAAAGCAATCGTGCATTGAGCATGCTTTCATCCAATCTATGTCGCACTAACATCATCAAAGTGATTTTGGATATTCCGATCCATCATCCATTATTCACTTTCTTTCTTCATTTCACTATCAGCTGATTAATAGAAGATAACTGTTTCGTCCTTGTCTATGAGTCTTCAGCAGTGCATACCAATGAATTCTCAAAGATTAAACTCAGAATCATCAGATATTAAGATGATCATGTTACACTTGAAATACTGTATCAAAATAAGTATAATTGATATTGTAGGACATCTGATTTTAACTGGGTATTACCTGAAAATAATTTGTTGTATAAAAAACTTGAAGTTCATATGGTGTTGGATGTGTGAGGTTGAAAGAATCAAAGTTTCGGAAACATTAACATTCATCCGGAATCATTTTTATAGATTAGTCCAATATCATTACAAATGATGCATGTAGTAGCAAAAATGAACATCAAATAATAGCCTCAGTCAATCAAGCACATATATGCATCCGTCCAAGTCGCCATACCTTATTAGCACAGCAAGATGGACACCGGATTCAAAGAAGCAGTTAATTCAATGGTGTATTATATAAAGGAAAGATTACATATAAGGATACAGTACAAAAAGAAAGAATTAGTTCGTAGAAAGAAAGATATGAGACGATTTTAATCTCTTAGTTTAAGGGAAGACAGAGAGTGTATACACCTACGCCATGGTGATCAATTCTCAGCCATGTCATCAAGAGTCTCCAATCATTGGTTACGATAGTCAGACGGACCCCAATCAAGTAATCTCCATCTACCAACATGGCTAAGACTAGAAGTTAGTGACTTCAATGACTGATGCCACGTTTTGTTTTGACCTCCCCTAATTCTCTTCCAACCATCCCCAACACTAATCATCATTGCGCGTCATGCTAATCGATGTTCAGGCATACGCAACACGTGACCCAACAATCCCAGTCAATGAACATTTACAACCTCATCAACTTATTTATCATCATTACCTAATACTCTGCGTCTAACCTCACTATTACTTACCCGGTGATCCCAGCAGATGCGAGCAATATTTCTAAAGCATCTGTGGTCAAATACTAGTAGCTTACGAGTATCTTCTACTCTTAATGGCCACGTTTCTCAGTCGTAAAGTGGAACAGAACGAACTGCTGTGCCGTATACTCGTCCTTTTATTGATGGACGGATATCTCGCCTTCGTCATAGGTGACGTAAGTTGGCAAAAGCCAAACAAGCTTTTCAAATCCGTGCTGAAGGCCAGCTGAACTGCTCCTTAAAATGTTCCGCCCATCGCTCTAAACGTCTGGACTGGGAGCAGATGAGAGTGTCGTCTTTTTCCAAGATAGTCTCACTTACAATTGACTTATTAATTCCAGCTTCTTTTATTAGTCTGTAGAAGTGTCTTGTGTTTCCTATAGCCGCCACCTTTTCCATCTCATTTACTTTCGTTGCCTACCACTGATCACGGTCGTTCCATAGACTTTTGATTAACCTTAAGCTGTTTTTTTACGCCTGATTGGATGAGTTTACAAAAATCCATCAGTGCAATTGACCTTGAAGAAATCCATTGGTTCTTTATAACCGTGTAGTTTAAATCACTGATAGATGTCACTGCTGTTTCCACAGCTGCTTGTACAGCTTTCCAGGCAACATCTGGGTCAGCCTCGTCTTCAGAACTATCTAACTGTGACCTCAGTTGTTCCTGGAACCTACTTTTGGTTTTCTCGCTATTCAATTCAGTTCTAATGGGTCTTTTTACTGTGGCTTTTTGCGTCCAGTGAGGCGCAAGCAGATGCGTGCCCGTATTAGGGCGTGATCGGAGTCCAAGCAGGTACTCCAGAATGAGAGACAATCTTCTGCCGACCCTCTCCAACGATGACTGATGGCAATATGGTCTATTTGAGTTCGTCGTTGGTTTGGTGAAGGGCGGACGCCATGTTAGACGATGTTTCTCCTTATGCTTAATATTAGTGTTTGCCTAAAAATAAACGATTGTCTGAGCACAGTTGCAGCAGACGATCACCATTATCTGTTCACTGTGCCGGAATACTAAAATATTGTTATAGCCCAAAGCCGCGAATCAGAAGCAGCGAATTATCGATCGGACCAAGGACGCTTAAAACAGGTGCGAGCAGCCTAGAGTTCTGATTGGCCCTGCTTTCCGCCTATCCCAACCAGTTAAGTCCAGAATATCAATCCGAGCCTCTGCAATATGAATCATTATATTTCAAACATGCTGAGTTTATATACCAATCAAACAACATTTGTACATGAATTAGCCAGATGTGGCTGTGAATGAGGGAGGGAGTGACTAATAGACAGCGACATACCAAATACCCACCTAAATGCCTTTCTGTTTGACTTATGCTACCTATCTGGGCATTAAAGTCACCTCCTACAAGTACTATATCTGAACGTTTAGCTTTCTGAAGAAGTTCAGATAGGTTTCTGTAAAAGTCATCTTTCACTTCATCTGAGCTGCTGTCAGTGGGAGTGTAGGCAGAAACGACAAAAAGGCAACGACGAGTGTCCCTATCCTTCTGAGTTCTTACGGAGCCGTTTAGCCGAACAGCACATAGACGTCTGTTAACGGGAATACACTCTAATAGTTCTTGTTCCGCCCTCATGCTTAGTGTTATGCCTACACCTGCCACTTCTTCAGAAAGCTAAATGGTCAGACATAGTACTCGTAGCAAGTGACTGAATTTTCGATAGCTCACCATTTCATAGTTCTCATTGAATGTTTCTCCATTTCATCACACTGATTGACACTAGCTAGAGAACTGTTGGAAACAAGAAAGTACTAACCAACTATCTCTTTTTAATTCAAGATTTTTTCAAAGGCCAGATTATTATTTGTTTATTTAAAGGTATAAATATAGGGACAAGGAGGCACCGAGTACAGATGCGCCAAACAAGTTACTTGATTTGTGTGTGGGCTGTGATACTGCCCAGAATGAAGCAGGTGGTTCGCTTAAGGGGCCACACCCGAAGTTTAATCCACAAGGCAGTGGAGCAACGTAAGGAGATGCAATCCCATGGTAGCCGGTGACTAACGATAGGTTCCTACATCAAGATCCTGTAGTTCATGGTCGGAATCAGGGTTTTCCAACTCCCCTACGTGGATTCTCCATATCCACCAACCTGGTTAAAGCGCTAGAATTCGCTTTCCATCTTTTTAATTTGGTAAACACACTCTCACCACAAGGAGGTAATAAGTAGAACTTCCCTGAAAGTAGCTGTATACACGTGGCCATATAAGAGCATTTCATGACAGAGAGATAGGTCTTTACACTCTCAGCTGTAACAGGCTATTTAGGAGAAAAGGCTAGATAAATGACGCCATCGATCATCAATTCAATGACTTTTCTGTTGATACCGATCACTTAGTAAGAGATCGTTTAAGTGAAAAAGACGTTGAATAAAACAATTCACATATAAATACAAAGATTTAACTATTTAAACAATATATATTACAAATTATTTTGCAAAGAAAAAAAATTAAAAAAAAAAACAATACAACTTCCATTCTTGACTGTTATTATTTCAATTTGGCATAGTAACAAGAGAGATAGAGAGAGATAGAGGGGGTGGATGGGTAACACAGTTATTGTTTATATAAAATCTTATCATATTTCATAATAAATCCATGAATTAAATGATGTCCATAAACAAATGCTTTCATTCGATCACCAATAAAAAGACTAAATAATAAAATAGGAAAATATTGTATCCATCCCCACCATAACATATGAAATAGATTTGGATGTGACCTTATTTAAGATGATGATGATTATAAATGTATTCAAAGAAATAAAGAGGAGGGGGTAGGGAGAGGGGTGGAGAGAAATAAGTAACTAGGTTAAGGTAAATCATTTCATTGATATAAGATATATCCTAGTAAAAAAAAAACATTTTTGGAGATTCTTAGATGGAACTGTTGTACTTTCTTATATTCAATGTTGATACTGATACACATGCTTCTGATATGCAAATCTAACAGGTTGATTGAATGAGATGAAAGCTTTATTGACTAGCATGGATCGAGAAATATCTGTACACTGTTATACATATAAGCCTTATATTCGATTAACATTTATGCTTCGTTCTTTAGGAAAGGAAGCCAGAAATTAGCATGTAGCGCGTACTTACTATTAGACCAATTTGTGATTAACACTTCATAGGTTGTTTTGTAGGAATTGAGGGCAGCTACGTTCAACAGATAAACGAACTGAAGTTCTAGGAGGTCAATTTCTTCAATACCTTTATACTTTAACATTCTAACAGTTCGTCATAAAAGTTCTGCTTGAATCATGTGATGGATGGTTCTTTTTAAAGTCACTTCGTTAACAATCATTTAAACAGTGAATTGACGATTGTAAGCCAAAAAGGACTACATATGTTCTATGTTTTTTATTAACACAGGAGATTGACAGTTGTGTAACTCCGACCCCCTCTCACTCTTAACATCATTTTTGAGATCTGTATAGCTTTCAAAGAAATACTAGATTCACTAAAGAATAAAATAGGTTAGAATTACAGGAACATTAATGCAATATGTCCGTTTCGACAATTGTTACTAGATGAAATGAATATTTGTAAGATATTAGTTGAAGGGATTTTCAATCAATCGAAAAACTTCATCCATTCATGGAAGACTGATTTAATCTTTAAGTTTTTAAGGTACCCATTTATGCTACTTATTAATAATCAGCAGTTATGTTATACTCAACCACTTAAATGGGCTATGCAGTATCAACTTATTTTTATTCGTCTTTCCATTTGTAATAATATCACTTCTCCTTCATCTGATATTCTTTAATTACTGTACTCTTTGAAGCTTTATCTATATTGAACCAATTAGCTACTTTCTAAACTTACTACTTCGTTTATTATCATTAACTGTTGTATGAGTATGTCTTTGATAGAGTAATTAAACTCAGACACTTCATTGTTCAAACTTTTTAACTCAGTTTAAGATAAGTCTTAACATTTAGTTTCGAGGCTTTTACGCTTAATTAATCATGATTATAGAGTCATAAATAAAGCTGATTACGAAATCTTGAATAGTATTCACCTATAAAATGGACTAATACTACAGAAATCAGTTGCACATATAAAAAAAACTGAAAAGACTAAGAGATGTTAGATGATTGATGGGATTCTCCAGGAAGATTTATTTCTAATCTTGATGGTGCTCCTTTTGGGACTTTTCGGAACCCACATCGACAAGTATAACTGTTGGGGACGTTAGATCCTCAGAACTCACTTGGGAAAGGACCTAATTTTGTAATTTTATTTAGAAAATTTCATTTTTTTTGTTTTCGCACCAAAGGTGCTCTTTTCACCTTCACGTCGTATTTCTCACTTGGGAAATATCCTAATTGTTATTGGTCCGTTGCGTCTTTTAGTATGCTATTCGGTAACTCTCCCAAGGACGGTTTTGTACTGTATATATACGTTTTTGAATTGTGTTTGTTGTTATCGCTCGTTTCTGACTGTTTGCAGAATATACTTCCCCATTCCAAGGTTGTAGTTCTTCCTCTAGTTAGTGGGGCTGTGCGGCATCAATAGTTAGCTTACTGGTCTTTGGTCACCAAGTCTTGTTTCTAGTTCGCAGACTAAGTGAACTGGTGATACCAATCTGTAACTTATAATGTGTTAACTGAAAATATCAAGTGAATTGTAAAAATCTCTATCTAGAAATTATTGTATAAATAATTTGATCTCTATCAATTAAGAAAACAGACTACTACTAACAAACTAAGTAGTTTAATACTTGTAATTCGGTATATTGTGACAGATTAATAAGGAACAGCCCACGTCCGAATATTACAATTCAGTTCGTGAAGAACTCATCATGATTTAAATTCTTTTGAGAAATCTTGTTTTCTTTCAGTATTTCAACAACTCTAATGTCATTTATGAGTAGTAGTACAGTGGTTCAGTGACTAAAACACTTGAATTTCAATTTACGTTTTGCATGTTTGAACCCTGTTCCACATACTCCCATTCGAGTAAACGAAATGTGAACAGGAATCAACTATATAAAAGTGTACTTGATTATATGAATCAATAATTGATGAGTTTTTGAGCAGTTGATAATTCATTGGTTACAGAGAAATGACTATTATTATGTCGTATATCAAATTTGTCATATTCTGGATTATGAAACTAGGCGATGACAGTTTGAACTTTTTAAGGATTATCAGTTCGATTAAGAGTGTAAAGAAAACTTGTTTACAAGTATCATTTAGCACGAAACCTAAGTTAATCGAGGTTTTCTGTAGATCATCTTCAGCCGCCCTAATGAATTGTCTTTTTAAATTAGCCAACATTTAAAAAAAAAACAAATGAACGCATTTACAAAAAAAAGGATACCATACTTTGTTTGGTTTATAAAACAAGGTTAAATTTAGCACTAATGGATTTAAGAAATTTGCATAACCCGGTGTCCAAGTTTCATATTTTGGATCAATTTTTAATGTTACTGAAAAAGAAAAAAGAAGACAACAGAAATTTCGAAACACCTAATCTCTAATAAGGGATCATAATAAAAACATCCAAAACTTTGTGTAGAATCAAATGATTTGATAACTTGTTTAACTCCAGAATAAAAACATTTATAAATGGCTGTCATAAACAGAAGAGTTGTAGGTCTGAATTGGTGGAATGCTTGACCAGGGCTAAATCATGACATTTCAATGGTTCGTGAAGGTTATTTATTTCAACACATAGATATTGGTACAAGGAGACACCAAATACATATGCACCACACAGATCTCATTTGATATGTGTGAGGGCTGTGACACTGCCCGAGTGCCCAAACCGAAGCAGGTGGTCTTCTTAGGGGGCCACACCTCGATTATCACGACGCCTAATGCTGATTAGTGTTGAGGATGGTTTGAAGAAAGTTAGGGGCAGCCAAACTAAAACGTGGCATCAGTCATTGAAGTCACTAAATGCTAGTCTTAATCATGTTGGTAGATGAAGACTACTTGATTGGGGTCCGTGTGGCTATCGTAACCAATGATTGGAGACTCTTGATGACATGGCTGAGAATTGATCACCATGGCGTAGGTGTATACAATTTTTATCTTTCCTTGAACTATAAGATTACAATTGCTTTATATCTTTGTTTCTACGAACTAGTTCTTTCTTCCTGTACTATGTCCTTATACACAATCTTTCTTTATAGATCACTACCATTAAAGTGACCACTTCTATTAATCCGGTGTTCATCTCGTTGTGCTTGTAGTGACTCACATTTATCACGGGAACACGACTGGTTTAATAAAAACAATTATTATTATAACCAACTGTACCAGTGTTTGTTTTAATGTGCTTTTGTTGACTGTGCTAATGACAGCTATATTGTGCTTCCATTCTGATTCTTACACTTGATTGTGACTTCGCGCGAATTCGGTTACGTTCTGTAACCAAGCTTGTATCCTGGCACGATCTCGGTATCCTTTCGATACCACGAGATCGCCAGCAAATATATCTCGACTCGGTCCATTGACTGCCTTCTGATATTTGGCTTCTCGGGGATTTTATGGATTTATTTGGTTACGTTCAACTTTCGCCTTCTGATTTACTTGGCACGTGTTTCTTGATAGCGGTGTTCATAGTTAATCTCAACTGGATGCCACGCTACATGCTAATGGGATCTGACAACATGGATCGATGTACATCTATGACTGGTCCTACACTGTTACTAACTGACTGAATGTTATGGAGATAAATAGAAATAATTAAATGTATTATTTATAATTATGTAATACATCTACTTACTATGTCGTTTATTTAAGAACTTTTGAACTGTTTCCAATTGAATATCTTTAAGTTTATGCTGTTCATTATTGAAAATTGAATCCTATTAAATCAAAAACAAATAGTTGAGATTATGAGTCAATTGAAACTAGACCACCACGTAAAACCTGGAAGCACTAAACTTATATTGAAATTTTCATAACGCTTCAATCTCATAGATCTGCTTGTATTGTAATATTTTTTTTAAAAACTACTAGACATTTGTTCGACACATGTCATCATTTGAGTTTCTTCATGATCTACTTATAGTTAACCTCATTAACTACTAACTGACTGATATCTTATTGATCATAGGTGTCTTCGAAACATCGCTGGTATATCCTGTGATCACCGAGTAAGTAACGCAGTTGTTAGGAAACGGGTATTAGATAAGGATGGAAAATCAATTGATGAAGTAGTGAAACTTCATCAGTTGAGATGGCTGGGACACGTGTTACGTATGCCCAACGACCGACTGTCTGGACGTGCCATGTTCAGTGGTATAGGAGTAGGTTGGAAGAAAGCTAGGGGTGGCCAGAACAAAACATGGCACAAATCCATGAAGTCACTGACAAGTGGACTGAGTCATGTTGGTAGGTGTAGATTACCTGGTTGGGGACCGCGAGATGATAGCAACCGATGGTTAGAGACCCTGAATGACATGGCTGAAAATCGTTTCAATGGCGCAGGTGCAGGTCCTCACTTTGTGTTCTCCCAAATTTTAATCTCCTGATTCTTCCTTGTCTCTTTTTTTCTCTTCCCAAATTTATTTCACTGGGTTATACTCCTTGAATAACATGTTCAACCGTAATGTTTCCGATTACTGCTTATACGCTCACTATGTCTACCACTATGGGATTTGAATCGACAATTACATCTCTGTGCTAATGTGGTATGGCAACTCGAACTGATGTACGTACGTACGAAGTTCTACGTTGTTACTGACTGACTAACTGACTGACTAAACAATCTATTTTACATCACAACAATGCACATATACAAGTGATTCAAAATGATTAAGATCTAACAAAAATACTGTATATGTATATATCTAAAGAATTGTGCTTAGCCATTACTTACGTTATAAACTGTATTCATATAACCTTCAAGTAAAGGTTCTCTTTGATACAGTGATAATTGTCCATACATGGAATACTTACAAAATCCCAATACATTTGGCGTATCAAATTGAATCATTAATGGAGTTTGCATTATTAAATTCACACGTTCCTAAAATCAATCAAATTGTTATACTAAACATTCTTCATAGTAAAAAACAATCAGTGTATTGTATGTTATCAATTATTATCAATCAAAATTAAACAGTCTAACTGGAATAAGAACAGGAAGAAATGTTTTCTTGCAAGTGAAGTGATATCCTGCAGGAATTGATACTAATAGATGAGCAATACAGTTCATTTCAGCTGGCAAACAATTATGTACCCAACTGTGTGTAGTGACCCACTTTTATCAAGAGAACGCGATTAGTTTAATGAAAACAATTATTATAATAACCAATTGTACCAGTGATTGTTTTACTGTACTTGTTTGTTTAACTGTAATAATGACATTCCTCCTTTCATTGATTGTGACCTTGCACGAATTCGGTTACACTCAGTAACCACACTTGTAACTTGGCACGATCTCGGTATTCTTTCGATACCACGAGATCGCCAACAAATACATCTCAACACCACCCAACATGTGAAACACAGTTTGTGTGAAAATTAATGACACTTCTTGGCTAATCAGACTTATTCAAATAAGAAATGGAATCAAAACATTCAATCTACTGGATGAAAAAGCGACTGGTGGTCAGTGAGTTAGTTATAACCAACATGGACAATAACACAAATATGAGTTTGCCAAACTTTTCAATATTGATAGTTAATATGATCTTAATTCTGATGAATTAAAAAGCTCGAATTTATTGCAGTCTGATGATCATTTCATCATCAAAAAACGTAAACCAAAATTGAAAATATATATTAAGGATACCACCATCTATCTTAGATTCTAATGATGATGATGAGCACAGTTTTCAACGGTTACTTGCACAATATCTAATTGTATGTGCTTATTTTTCAAATGTCCGTTTAAATATTTCATTGTTGATGTTTTTGTTGAATTGAACTCTGTTCATTCTCTTTCTTTACAGATCATCAGTTTTAACTCATAGTTGTTGAAATTAGGTAAGCCAACCTATGTCATTCCCAGCAGTAATCTATGCTTTTCGGTAAACGAAAACATTTATATGTATGTTCCCTTTTTGTTTTTACTTTGCCGTATGTTGATTTGTATAAAGCTGAGGATCGTTCATGCCATTGGTGATGAGTACATATTATTATCATTATTCAACCATAATTATGGTTATTCCTTTAATTAGATAAATTCAAATGAGGAAACGTACAATTAAGCTTGAAGTAAATACAATGAGCTCGTTTGCATTAGATGTTTGAATCTTTCCACCGATGTTTGGAACTGAGATTGATCTATCTTACTTAGCATTTGTACATCCTATGTAGAACATTCAAACAAACAATATTAATGAATTGAAATTCACTCCAACACGTGAGACACTGTCTGCCCGAAATAAATAGCTAAGTGACTGATGAAATAACGTTTAAAGCAGATGGTACCGATTCGAATTTGGGAGTGAACATCAATTCTGAGGCCCTAATACATTCAGTCGAAAGTCCCGAATAAGATGAAACACACATTCTCAATCACATTTTCTGGCCGTCATCAAACCCGCTTATAACGTTTATGACTTAATGACTATATCAAGGTGACCGTACAAGATGTATATATACCAAAAGAGACTGATCAATTGCAGTCCTAAACATCGGTGGAAAGATTCAAACATTTGGTGTAAATGAACTAACAGTATTTACTTGAAGCACCATAATGCGTTTCCTCATTTATATTCATTTAATTAAAGGAATAACCGTAATTATGGTCAGATAATGATGATAACAATATGTACTAATTACCAATCGCATAGAAGCTCTTCAGCTCTTTTTGGATTTCGTTGCTAATCAACACCGACATACAGCTAATTTACAAAAGATTTGAACAGATTAAAAGTTATAAACTAATTTTACTTACTTTCAATTGATAACTGAATAGTAATAATATATATAAGCTGCTTATTTTATCTTCAATAGGAATTTGAAATTTCAATTTTAATTTATCATATATTCCATCATAATCATCATCTAATTGTTGAATAGACATATGTGGAATAATAAGATTTGAAGATAGTTGACTATTTAAATCTGTGTATGTACTCCATGCATAAGTTGTTTGATGTGATCCTTTCAATTCAATATAGACTTGTTTTAAAAAGCGTATTTGAGGTTGTTCAATGTAAATTGAATCCCGTAACCAAAATCCTTCATTCCATTAAAAAAATATCATAATAATGTTTTAATGAAAAGAAAATTTGTAAAATGTTTAAAATACAGACAATATTCAGTTTGGTTACTTAGTTCAATTATACTAATCATAACCCTAACCAGAGATCTTTTAACACTGAGCTATCCGAATCAGAATCACAAATAACTAATTCAATAAATGTATCTCTTATTAATCGCGATTAGTAGTTTGAGGTGTTGTAACATATGACTCAGAATCGGTCACATTTGCTGATATGCATTCTCTTTTCATCTTTGCTAAAGTTTTTGGATTTGATGTTACTTCGTCCTTTTTACTCCTAAAATTCGTCCTTTCTTTTTGAACCTCGTTTTGTAATATCTCATATTTTTTGCCATCAGTGGTATCATTAATCACTCTGTGATTCTACTATGTATATTAGTAATTCCTTCATACCATGCTGGTGTATTGTGACAACTCGGGCTGATGTATATTTATACATCAATCCCCGTTGATTGTGACTGACTAGCTTAAATAGTTATGTCTTAGCCCGAATGTATGTTACTTCTAAAAAATGATAGATGCGCTTACGTTGGGAATAATTTTCTCATCAATAGACAACTCCAAAGTTGAATCTAAGTTATTTGTTTAAAGAAATACGGAAATATTTCCAAAAATTAATTCCATAAACTTGTGATTTTGTTATTACTTTACCCGGCAAAATGCCTGTGCAGAATGAACTCAATAATATAAGATGGTTTTTGTGGAGATTGTAGTAATTTCAGTTTTCTAGTGGTTAAGTGCTCGCGCGCGAAACCAGTAGATCCTGGGTTCGAATCTCGCAGAGGGCGAGGTCGTGGATGCGCACTGCTGAGGAGTCCCACAATAGGACGAAACGGCTGTCCAGTGCTTCCAGGTTTTCCATGGTGGTCTAGCTTCAACTGACTCATAAACTCAATAAGCCTATAGTAGCCGTGGTACCATCTAACGCGAACCTAAAGTCACGCTCGAGAAACTATTTATTTGTTTCTCCGCTTAAATGATGTTTCGAGGCAATCATCTGTAACCCTAAAATTATCACTTACTCTTACACCAACAAGTTGATTTGTCTATTCAAATAGGCGCTTATAGAGAGATAGTATACAGGACTCAAAGACACTGAATATCATGCATATAATCTACGATTATCCAGAACAACAATTCAGAAAGCAGTGCACTAAAAATAACCACGCAATCCTAAATAGTTACAGTTAATTTACACAGGACTAATGAATGAAATATTTATCTCAAAGTAAGCAGCTTTTTTATCATTGAATATGATCAAGTCTAAATGTATTCAACTCCTAAATTGTCAACACAATTCCAGCAGATGCGGTTTTTGTAGGTCTAAGTAAAGCGTAAGAAGAAGAAGAAGAAGAAGTAAAGCCTTCATTGGATTTACTCACCTTGGTCTCAATTTAAAGTTGTGAAACTTTGGAATCAGTTATAAAATTAAAGATAGGATAACTGACTTCCTCAGTGACATAAGGCAACGGTTTAGAGTAAACAGTGCTTTATCATCATGAGAATTTTTGAAGAGTAGAATTCTATTGTGTTCGTGTGAACTAATGATTGTTTTGTACTCAATTCCTCGTTGATTTTGAATTCTAAATACAATGCATTTGGTTGTGCTCACCCAGTTCTATTTGGCTTGATTTGCACTGTTCCAGGAATTGCTAGTTGATGCAATAATTCGAATACTTCTAATTATTATGAATTTCTCAAAGGAAAATCCTAAGCCTCATTCATTTTTTAAAAGTGTGCAAGTGATTTACCAACTGTTACAAAGTTATCTGTTATATTTTTGCTGATGATACTAAAATTTGGAAATTGATACAGAACGTAGTTCATAAGACAGGATTACAGAAAGACCTAGACAAACCAGGTAAGTTGGCGAATAGATGGTCATTTGAAACAAAGTCAAGAAAGTGTAGCAATGCAAATCAGTTGACGAGATGATTTATATAAATGCTCAACAAACAGAATAGTAATGACTGTAGCTGTGTATAAATCCCAGGAACAAATAATTAACCCTTCTACAATGATGCTGACCTCATTAATTTTACTGGACACACTCTAGCTAAAAGAGATCAGTCACGCATCCACACCAGATCACGAGAGGACACTCTGTCCTACGCACCCATCAAACTACTAACCGGCTTGAGTCAAAATGTCTTTGAACTTCGTTATTCTTGACTTCGTTTTTAGTGGGTTGGTATTTTTTTTATTGTAAATGTGTTACGGACAAAAGCATTGTAAAACATGAAAGTCTGTGGCCTCTTCATTTCCAATTTGATACTAGAGACGACAAATGTACGTAAAACGACATAAAAATCTGAGACATAAACATAAAAAAATAATTAAGTAGATCTATCAGTTTATAATTAACTGGAATCAACGGATGGAATAGTATATAGTATATACATATGTAGAAACATGTTTTTACATATGATCACCAGCATATCGTACTGTCCGCAGGCTAGATAGACGTAGATCGTGAAGTTAAAGAAAAAGCTGCCGAAATAACAATCATGAGGGAGGAATGCCGTTTGCGAAACTGAGTTATCAAAAGTTATTATATAATTTTGGGGAAAGCATGATAATTTGGGTAGAGTTCGTGGATGCCGCACCATAATATTACGAGAAACATTTGACGAAACGCGCCAAAAGACTCGAAAATTCCTCAGGTTTGTAAACACTATTCGAACTTTCATGTTATACAAGTTGAAGTTACGTTCACTAATTCCCCAAGCTCCCAACTTTGGGGACATTTTAGAGAATTTCTGGAAATCTCCAATGTTTGGGGTCTGGTAAAACTTTTGGGCTTTTGTGCCATTTCCCCGAAATTTGCCCAAAGTTTACTATAGCGGCTTCCCCAAAATGGGTCAAATATTCCCCGAAATTGGGAGCTTGGGTCACCTTAATAATTTTCGGTAACTTACCACCTGAACGATAACATATAAAGAAAGGAACTATAAGAGAAGTTATAGTTATGATTAGCTGGAATGCTGTCCCAATGTGAAAAAATGGAAAGTGTATTTCTCTCAACACTGGACAACGATATATCTCAAGAAGCGCCATTGGTAATCATAACTACGCCCGTTATGTTTATCGATTTAAACAAGATATCAAAAAGATCTGTGTCTGTCAAATTAAAATAACTCACTTGGTGTATCAAGTTTCGTCTTTCTGTTTTACTCTATAAAGCGTGAATAATTACGAATTTCTTTTCAAGATCTTTGGGTAGACCAACCCTCAAACTTTTGGAAATATTTCCCTGTGCAAAGTTAAGATCTCAGTCATGAAAAACCCTGTTCTATCCCAGCATTTTGTGGATGATATTTTCCTCTCACGTAAGGTTTTGGGAATCAAATAAAAAGTTACCTATTGTAAGGGATATACTCTACTCTGTAAGACTGTCTAGTACTTCGAGGTGTCTAGTCGGAGTCATTTACAGAAAGCCAACTGCCGACATCGAGTACGATAGTCGTATGCTGGAAGGACTATCCCGCTCTATCCGTCTCGGTTTCACACACATCCTGATTCTAGGGGACTTTAATCTCCCTAGAGTCAACTTCGCGGAACACACGTACACTGGAGGCGACAACTCAATTGAAGCTCGGTTCTACAACCTCATCGATGACTTGGGCTTATATGAAAATGTGAGGTCGGCAACTCGTTGGAGAAACAGTCAGACACCATCGCGCTTAGACTGTGTATTCACTAACGAAGAATTCCTAGTCGACAACCTCTCAATCCTGGCTCCTCTGGGAAAGAGCGATCATGCCGTCATAGCCTTCAGTTTTGTCATCAAAACTAAGCTAAGGTATCCCAACAATAATTTGCGTTGGAATTTTAAACGGCTGAATGTCCCAGCTCTACATGACTATCTACAACAGGTGGTTTGGGATGTTCACCCTCAACTCGATGTGGATGGTCATTGGGACTTCTTACTGCACACGCTCTTATGTGCTACAGACCATTCAGTTCCTCAAACGGTTCCCAAAAGCTGCAAGCCACCTACAGTAATCAAGAACCGTACCCTTCGCCTGCTAAGCCGCAAAAGGCACTGTTGGGCGGAATACAAACGAACTAATAACGATGGAGCGTATAGGCAATATAAACATATCAGGAACATATGCACGAAGGCTATAAGAGAAGACAGGCTTCAGTACCAAACAAAGCTTATGGACAAATTCGCCTCTAACCCTAGAAGCTTATTCCGTTATGCAGCCTCTCTTCGTCAAGCCAAAACAGGAGTTTCTCAACTGCTAGGTCTTAACGGCCCGACCAACAACGATGGCGACGCCGCTAACCTTCTGGCGGCCCATTACTCTCAAACATTTCAACCGGCTGACATCAACTTTATTGACGACAGTTTCATCTGCAATTCCACAGGACTTTCTGAAGTGGACCTAAGCGCTGACTTGGTGTTCCGGAAATTGCAGCACTTAAGACTTGACACTTCTCCTGGCCCGGATATGGTTCATCCTGCCATACTGAGGGAGGCAGCCTCAATCCTGGCAACGCCGCTTAGCGTGATGTTTTCACACTCGCTTAGCCGAGGCAAATTACCGGAAAATTGGAAGTTGGCTCACATCACACCAATTTTCAAAGGTGGTCGACGCAATGAACCTTCAAGTTATCGGCCGGTGGCTCTTCTGTCATTACCTTCAAAACTCATGGAGTCCCTGATATGCGACGGTTTAAATGACTATCTACTGTCCTTAAATTTCTTCTCACCCCAACAGCATGGTTTCAGGAAGGGTTACTCTTGTATAACCAACCTGCTGACTGCGGTGGACAGATGGACAAGCATCCTCGATTGCAAGGGAAAGGTTGATGTCATTTACCTTGATTTCTCAAAAGCTTTTGATAAGGTTAACCACTTGTGTCTTATCAACAAGCTCAAACGACTAGGTATCAAACCACCCCTAATCGATTGGCTTACTTCATACCTAAAAAATCGACACTTTAAGGTTAGGGTTAATTTCACTTTATCTCAGGCTATGGAATGTCCTAGTGGGGTCCCCCAGGGCTCAGTACTAGGGCCTCTTCTCTTCTTGATCTACATAAATGATCTTCCTCAACAGGTAACGTCAGATTTATTACTTTTTGCCGACGACGTGAAACTTTGGAGAGAGATACGCAACCAAGACGATACACAGGCACTTCAGGAGGATCTGACTCGACTTCAAAGTTGGGCAGACGATAACGGACTTACCTTTAACACTTCAAAGTGTAAAGTAGTCCATCTGCGACATGTTGCAAACTACAGTTACAACTTAGGAAACTCCTCTCTAGTAGTATCCCAAGTCGAAAAAGATTTAGGAGTCCTGGTGCCCCATGATTTAAAGTCTTACGCTAACTGTGACAAAAATGCCTTCCGAGCAAACCTTGCACTGGTAACGTTGAGGCGCATTTTTGGCCAGTTTGACGGAAGAACTTTCCACACAATCTTCAATAGTTTCATCCGTCCCCATTTAGAGTACGGAAACATAGTACTCCCCCCTCACTCCAAAAGGACAAGGTCACTTTGGAGCGTATCCAACGGCGAGCCACGAAATCAGTTCGAGGACTCAAATCTAAGCCTTACGAAGAACGCCTCCGTTCACTAGACCTTTACCCATTAGAATATAGGCGTCTTAGAGGTGATTTATTAATGGCTTATAGTATTCTTAACACTTCTGGACATCCTCTTAAACACCTACTTAAGCTTAGTTCGAATAACAACCTAAGGGGTAACACCCAGAAACTGGAAACACAACATAGCAAGACGGAATGTAGACACAACTTCTACTCCTTAAGAGTTGTCAAAAGCTGGAATTCGCTGCCAGCCGAGCTAGTCCAAGCGACTTCTCAGGAGTCCTTCAAGAGGCAACTTGACCTATTCTTAAGGACCAAGGACAGCATCACATTATGATTTACCAATTTCTTTTCCTCTTTTATTGTTAACATACCTAGGTTCCTGCCTGGAGGATTTGGTGATCCCCTGCTACTAGACACGGAAGCCTGTTAAGCGAAAGCTTCTTCTATTCCGTCCACAACCATTTGAACCATTTGAACCATTTGAACATGACTACGGCTATGAGGGAGTTACTACGAAATCACTATACGGTTTGTGCAGGAGCTCTCCTAAATAGAGTCTAAAAACTGTGAAATTCACTGCCGGAAGCAATAGCTTAGGCATCAGCTGTAGTTCTCAAGGGACTGAGGGGAACTGCTCCTGGTGGTTTACACAAACTTACATTTTATTATGAGGAACTCACCATATTTTAAGTCTCTGTGAGGTCAAAAAAGAAATTCTGCCTCCTTATAACCACGATGCTTTTCCTTCACCACAAGAGCAGATCTAAGAATAGTGCTTGGAGAACAGAGAATTCTGTTACTTACTGACCCACTCCATTGTGGAGGATTTCAACTTTATTGCTGATCTTTCGAGGCTGACACTTCATTTTCATCTGCCACCATATCCTCTGCGTACATGAAGTCACCGTTAACCCATAAATGATCGAGACAAGTAGGATAGAAAACAAATGGTATTTAATATCATTATCAGAACTATGGGAAAATCAGTAGACTAATATTCGAGACACCGTCGAGAATTTTGACGTAGAAAAACTCACGTATATTGTACATTCTGGGGATTATGTCTCCATTTTTTACAAAACAGTATGGGCCTGCATATTTTGTTCATTTCTGACTTTGTTGTCTCATAGATCTCAAGTTAGAATGCAACTGGCCAGAGAAGTTACTATTAGTTGGATTTAGTAGATCTAAGAAGTCAGTTTGAAGAAACCACAGGTATTTGGGGTTCGACAACGCTTTAACCAGTAACTTCTTCTACTATGAATCGTACTCACCAAGTGAAATCAAAAGATAGAAGCCAGGAGGTTCGAAAATATATTTGATAGGCTATAAATATATCGGGCATCGACTGATCTAATCTGGCTAGCGAATGAAGGGGATGTTAAGCACGCATTCACACTCGTGATCTGGTGCGGATGCATGACCGAGCGCCTTCAGCTAGGTGAGTGCATCCAGTGGCGAAAACTTACAGAGCTATTTATTTTGGGGATTTATTTATCGCTACTAGGTATTCAAGTAAACCCTATTTGATCTTTGGAGGACAGAACTTGGTGGAATGGAGGCTATATTCCGCAGAGAACAGTAAATCACCAAATTTTATGCTCCTTAGCTTCCAGACCAACACAATGAATCTCGACAATACTGTTATGAAAAAGGCCGTTTTGATTAAGTAGTCAAAAACTGCCGTTTGTGAATGTCTCTATGACAGGAAGTAAATCTTAGGGACTAAATAAATTGTCGACATAACTGAACCCATTCAATGCCTTCATCACCAAAATATAGTTATTTGGTCACTTCTTTTCTGTTTCACTCTGTTAAACTTTACTTATTTAAGAATTGATGGAGAAGTCGGACAAAGTATTTCCGTGCCTCCAGATACGCTCCTAAAGGACTCACTCTCAAAATCGATAGTAACATGTGATATTGCAGATGATTATGTCTACCGTAGCCAGATCGACTTCACTCGCAACTTTACGTTCAGACGACATATTACGTTTTTTATTATTAAACTAACTATTGCTTATTAACCTGACTACATGTCTTGTTTAGATACCGCTCTTGTGGTGGGTAATAATGATACTACTGCAGAGGCTTAGTGTCTGTGACGTAACTGTAAGATCCATTTTGAATGTGTTGTGTGTTGGTGAAAATCCCTCCATGTATATACTTGTACTTTATTCCTATTGATCACATTAGTTGTACATTGTTGTATTTTGATTACATTTGAATTGTTAATATTTGTATTTTTTGTTATAGTTTTTGTTTTTATTATGCATTCACTAAGTTTGTGTTTCTTCCTGAACTGCATCTGCGTTGTTTTACTTGACACTTGTTCTTGGCGGTAGCCATATTGATTTGTTCCTCCTGTTGTGTGTGATCTATCCAGTCAGGATAGAATAACGTTCATTTGTTGTGACTGGTAATTTTTCCTCATCTTCTATCAACTTCTTTATTTATTGTAATTTAGATTTGATTGATTGAACAATCATTGG